CCCCCCCACCCCCACACACAGCAGGCGGAGCAAGGCACACAAAAACTTAAAATAAGAAGCCAGCATTACGGCGCTATGCAATGGGGGCCGCCATTGGGGGTTTCCCGACATGTCGTTTCAGTAAATTAAAGGGTGTTTCATGTTGTCGTTGCTGTGAACCTTCTTAATACCTTGGAAAATGCCGTTTAATACTTTTTAATAGCCTTAATTTTCGCTAAATTGATTTATCAACTTTTAATACTTTTTAAGACCCCGCGGACACCCTGAGTCACTCCATTTAAATACAGAATAAACTCATTTTCACAGATATCCGCTAGATAGATAAACTTGGTCTCAGTGCCGTGCGTGCGTGTGTGTGTTGGTGTGTGTGTTGGTGTGTGTGTGTGTGTTGGTGTGTGTGTTTGTCACCTAGTTCTCTGGCTGCACTGTTCAGCACCGCCTTCATGCTCTCCTCCAGCTCGTCCATCTTTTCTCTCAGCTCGCTCAACACGGGGTCGAATGACGCCTTCACCAGGAACTCGTGGTGGTCAATCTACACAAAACATGCAAGAAAAGAAAAATGTAAACAGCGTGAAGAATGAAATAGAATATTGTGGGAGCAATATTCTTAAATTGTACATAAAATACTAGAGCAAAGACCTGGTTCATGTCCAGCGTGGTTTCAATCATCTCCTGGTATTTAACAAAGTCAGATTGCAGGTCTCTGAGAGGAGAGAGGAACACCGCCTCCAACAGAACCTCGTAGCTACCTGTAACACACACACAGGAAATCAAGCTATGTAGTACACACGGAAGATAAACGAATGCACTGCAGTGTGTGTTTGGGCTACTAATGCATGTTAATCACTAGTTTATCAGCTACACCTCCAGCATTCACTCAAGTGCAAATGTACCAAAATATCAAACAAGAAGTTTTAGAATTCATAAAGAATGTAAGCAATTTAGCAACAATCAGAAGGTTGAGGGCTATGCTGCATTGCTTTTGATAACTACAGTACAGATTCATTGTATATGAATGGGCTACAGCAGCTGGAGACTATGTCAGGTAACAAGGTTTTCAGTGGAGAGAAAAGTGACATTAGGTTCTGGACTAGTAATGGACAAATCCAGGATTATTTTGCATCATGTTGACAGTTGTGGAGTAAATAGCCAGATTAATGAAGGTTATGAAGGCCATAGGAGGAGGACAAACTGCACCAGCTAAATCAATTGGCCCCATACTGTACAGTGCAGTAACACATAGCATGACCTGCAGCTTTGTGTACCTGAGTATCTCTCCAGGGCGCTGACGAGTGTCGGGAGGTGGCTCACAGCCTGGTAGACGCGGTAGCAGTCCTGAAGAGTCGCAGAGTGACGCTGGAACTTCTTGGACAGACGGTGAAGGTCCGGAAAACGCCGCAACAGATCCTCCTGACAGGTCTGCCTGAGCTCAGAGTCACACACAAAGCTCTCCACCATGTCCAGCCTATAAACACGCCACAACAAACACTATAAGAATCCTCAAAGTTTGTCCTATGAGCTTATTGAATTTCCCTAGAATGTCTCAAATGTATTTATTTTCTAAATGTATCTATAATCAGGGGTGCACATAACTCTTCAGGGTATATGCAGGAATCCTGAAGTCAAATTTAATACCTTTTAAGACCTTTTTTAAGACCCTTTCCATACATTTTAAGACCTCATCGCAACTTTGAGTTCTAACCGGTTACATTGGCTACACACTTTACCTCACATTTACTATATTGATTGTAAGATAGCACAACTAAACAGAGTGCAGACAGACTACTGAAGCCTCCTCTCCACATGAACTTCAACCTCTCTGTGAAGGTCAGGTTTAATGCAGTATGCTGCTTTGTTGCTTCTGTGCTCTGTGCTCTTTCATTCCAGTAAAACTCCTCAAACCATTAGAAACCAGTATTTGACCAATAAACGAAACAATTGACAAATCTTTGAACTATGAAATATATTAAACTTTGGTGAGCTTCAGCGGGGTAATGCCATATAGGAGCTCCCTCACAAATACCCAGGGGTTATACCCAGCCCTGGCACATAGGACGATGCTCTGACGTCATCACCCTCACACATTTGTCATATGTTTACAAAAAACAATATATATGTTATGACTTTTCTCGTTCTTAATATAGACTATATTTAGGGTCTATATGTGTTGACTTTACTTTAAAATAGCAGATCTCTGTGACCGGATATAGTTTGGCTTAGACCCCGGCCCCACGAGGACGCATAAGGTAAAACGCATACGCAAGCGCAAAAAAGTCTTCCGTTCACACGCATTCGATTCATTAACGTGTCCGTTCACACTAGACCGCTGGAAATGCTGGAAACACTGTAGTACATATGTCAGGCCTGTAAGTGGCGCTGCTGCCGCCACAAAATACACCAAAAGCAGCGAAGAAGACCCCGGAGCATGGTTGCCATTCTGTTTATTCTCCGCGGTGGACGGCGTGTTCTCCTGCTGTATATCTCTCAGGTAGTCCACCAGCAGATGAAAAACACCCACCGCTCGGCCTCTTCCAAGGGACGAGGGAACCGTGCGGCAGAGTTTCCGTTAAAAAAAATGTTCCGCCGGTCAACATGTCCGTTAAAGTTGAAATCTTCCGTACAAAATTAGAAAAGTGCCGGTCAGAGGTCTTCTTTGTTATTTATTGAGCAATAAAACAAATTGATAACGACTCTGTTCTCTGTATAATAATATTTAATAAACGGTGCCTGGCTGCCTCTCTTTTCCTCCCCCTCTTCTGACAGCCCAGCAGCAGCTGGAGACATGGGGAGAGGGAGGCGGGCTATTTCATCATTCTCAGAAAATGATCATATAGGGCTTACACACGGAGCCGTTGCGTATGCCGGTCTATAATACTTTTCTAATTTTACTTGAGGAACATTTTGAATGCAGGACTTTTACTGTAACAGAGTATTCCTACAGTCTGGTGCTTCTACTTTTACTCAAGTACAAGATCTGAGTACTTCTTCCACCTCTGTCTGATTTCAAACTCTTCCATTAACACCCTGAGTAAGTTTGCAGCTGTGTGTTTTGCTCCAACTTGTAAATAAAACAGCAGCAGCTTGACCACAGAGCGTGAATGTTGCAATCAGCTGATTTGGCGCAGTTCTCAGTGTGGGTATGCAATTCAGATTTTTGTCATGTACCTGCATACCAGTTATGTGCATCCCTGTCTATAATATAAGTATCCAACACATTGAAATAACAACACACATGTCATTTTATCTTTCAACAGCTTCTTGATCTATAAACTGAAGGTCCTGGTTCATTCATATTATATGACGTAGCTTAAATCACTGAACAGACGTGAGGTGATCCACTGGTGAGAAAACAGAGGTGATGGGCTTCAATCCTCCCAAGACTAACGCATTCAAATACGCCTCAGAACATGAAGAACTCTTTTGTCTCGACAGTTTGCTCCCATCACTGTATTACCTCTCCTCTATTTTGGTTTTGTCCATGAGAGGCTGTTTGATCCACTGGTTGACCAGACGCTGACCCTGCGGCGTGCGGCACTTGTTCAACAGACCGGCCAATGAATGAGCTCCACTTGTGTCATCGGGGGCTCCCTGCAGAAATCCATTAACAGGTAAGGATAATACACATTTCCCAGGGTTTCTTTAACACATGTTTATCCCTGGGGTAAAAAACAAAAACAATTAAACACATTTTTGGTCATTAGCATCATTAGCATAAGCACAGCCTCACCAATATATAATGCTCCAGCAGCAGCAACACACGAGGCTCAGTACACACTATCCTGGGTAGTTTTCATTTCATGACCACAAGGCCTAAAAGATTTCAACTTTCTCTTGAGACATAATGTTCCGTCTGCCAATTATGGCATGCGGGACATCTCTAGTCACACAATGAGCTCTGTGGCTTTGGGAAAGGAGCCAATCAGAGGCACAATGCTTCCTTGTTGAGTTTGTGAATTTGGTCTGCACTCAAAATCTAAAAAGCACATAGTTTAAGCTGCAGACTTAAACTATGACTGCGTCTAACGGTTCCAAACCTCTGTTAGACGCTCACGTTACAAAACTCCACTTAAAATGTGGAATTCCTTTTTTACCTCCATGTATCCGAAGGTATAAGGTTGATAGATATGTGAAATAAACCCTAGTCAAACCAAACTGCATGCATGACAGGTAAGACAACGAATGGTTCTTTTGTGATTTGGATTCTCTGACCCTTTCTGTCGTTTCTAGCTTCTTAAGTGAATTGGGTGAAAGCCTTGAAGACCTGGCTCCTGTCACTGACCTGGAAGAGGTTGAGAGCCCTGACGGCAGCGTTGTCCAGCCTCATGTACTGACCCAGGTTCAGAGAGGTCAGACTGAAGGAGTTAAAGTTGGACTCGTCAGAGAGCAGCTCAAGGAAACGCACCACTGCAGCCAAGCACGACATGGCCACCTGAGAACAAAACCACACACAGACTACCATAAGGAGAGGGGATATCGAGCGCTTGGAAGATAAATAGAGATTTTACATTATCTTGTACTGGATACTTGTCGGTCAACAGTTGTCAAAAGTTCCATGGGCTTATTATCTAATACATCTGAATATTAAGGATCAGATTGTCCAGTTCAGTGCACTTGGGTACAAATTCAGAATGCTTGCTTACTCATTTATTTCTTGTTTTGTTACACTACGAGGGAATTTGTAAGATTATAATTTCTCCTGGGAAAAACACCATGCAACAGAATCTATAATAATGCTGTTGGGTTTCTAACTCCTTGAGTGTAGGACAGCTCTTTCTATGTGATCACCTGTTTGTCCAGCTCAGGCAGCGTGTTGCTCGCCACACTGTCTCCCTTCTTGGCCCTCAGCAGCCGGTTCAAATCCTGGACCGTGTCTTTGCTGCTGAACTCCGCTCTCTTCCTCTCAGAGACCAGCACGCCGCCTCGCTCCACCACCTGCACAAACACAGCATAACAACGATGTCTACACACCGTAATTGCACATGCATTCACAACCTACTTCTGCCTATACTGTTAGTGGGCGTAAAATAATGAATGCATTAAATATATTGGAAAGGTCCAGTTAAAGACTTTGAAATTGATTGGACAAGACATACAACATCTGGTCTTGGCAATTATTATGGGCATTTTCTCCCATTTTATAATAATTATTTTTGTTGCAGCGGATTTATTTTTTGCTTTTTTGAGACTTATACATTTTAGGGAGTTTCTCATACAGAGCCTACAATACAAAAGCTGCAGAAGCTTAAATATGAATGTATAGTTTTTTATATTTATGGAGCATATAGTCACTCACTTAGGAAATGTATTTAAGATGGAGGGCAGAGGTTTTGCTGTCATCAGTCCCTGACCACCACATACCTCCCGTAGTTTACTGCCGTCAGTGTTGCCATCGCCCTGGGCCAAGAGACACTCTTTGGGGCCGATCTGGACGAGAAGAGACTCCAGGTTGGAGAAGATCTCGTTGTCAGGAAACTCACACACTCCCATCGTCCTCTGGGCAGCGTCCACATAGCCAACCCCGACCACGCGCTGTCCGTCAGCTCCTGTAGCAACACGCACAGCTACAACTCCTGCAACCCCCACTGCTCCGGTTCCCCCGCTGAACAGAATCTCTTCAAACTGAGTCAAGTTTCCTGGAGAGGCCTGGAAGAGAAGAACATGGGCATATGGACCACAGGCAAGAGATATAAACACAGAGAAACAAACCTTCTGTACAATAACTTAAGTTAGACCCTCCAGAAAAACGCGATTCTGCGATCGCAGAATTTACCGCATAATCAGCAAAATGGCGCAGATTTTTAAAAAGCCGCATATTTATCAAAAGGCCGCATAATCCCCGCATTTTTCCACACAAAGTTGAGAAGAAAAAAAAAGTTAACTCGTCTTGACGTGACGTCATCAGCTCGCGCATCACAGAATGTAAACAACACTGTATAGAGCTCATTTAGCAACGAACATTTCTACTAAAGACCGGGCAAAAAGTGGGGGAAAACTATTCTGCACCCCGTGCAACTGTGTGTTGGAGCATAAGAGAAAATCGACGGTGGCGACCCACTTTGATTCATTCAAACATTCGAAAATGCTTTCTGCTGCTGCGGACAAGAAAGCCAATCAACTCCCGTTCACCGAGGGATCAACCTCCAAAACCCTTTCGAGGGCTACAAGAAACGAAGTGAGTAGCCTACAAGATTGAAGCTGGTCAGATAACGAACGAGTAAATGAAAACAGAATGAGGCGGAGAAGTGTGTGTGTGTGGGGGGAGTGAAGTGTGTGTGAGATTAAAATAGCCCAATTGCTTTTACAATAAATAAACATTGAATGTGTTTAATTGAATAGTAAAGGGGTTTAACGTTAGTGGCAGGTTGTGTGTGAGAGAGAATAAATAAGACAGCCCAATATTTAAAAAAATGTCGATAATTTTTCCCGCATATTTAGCAACTTTCGCAACTTTCCGCAACTTCCCGCAATTTCACCGCATAAAATCACATAAAAACCCCGCATGTTTAATCGCATAATCAAGGATTTTAGCCCGCATAATCAAGGAATTTAGCCCGCATAATCAAGGATTTTTGCCCGCGTTCTTCTGGAGGGATCAAAAGGGGGGGTGAAAAACGGGGTACAAAGAAAAAATCATCTCTTTACAAGCAGCACATTTACTCTACCCTAAGCTAAAAAAGTAGAACCCACGAAAGAGATAGCACACTCGAGGTGTGTGCAGTGAAGATATGTCACAACAAATGTAAGAACCCACCCTTACGGCCGCTTCGACTACTGCAGTGCACGTTCTGCGGTCAAATTGAAAAAAAAAAGAAGAGTGAAACACCACCCTTTTACGCCGCCTAATACTCGGAGAACTATTTTATACGCGGGGAAAAATTTTTAGACGGCGGGTAAACGTCTAATACGGAGGGGGGAAACAAATTAAGATGCTAGCGTTTTTAGCCGCGACCTCGGGATGAGTCGACCGACAATGCCTACTGGTCAGTGGAGACCACCTTTGTAACCATATTGACGGAAAAAAATTAAGTATACAACTCACGAACCGAACACAAAAAAAAAATTAACTGGTTCTCAGAGAAATTTCAACTGGATAACTACGTTTTCCGGTTGAAAACATGTAGAAAATATGCCTACTTATACACAAGGGGCCGACAAGGTCCTTGGTGGTGTCCACAGTCTTTTGTGTGGGAGAGATAAAAGGCAGGGCTCATGGGTTTAGAAGAATCTTGTTCCCCCGACGTGTGCCTAACTATTGTCTGACTAGGTCCTAAACTTGTTGAAGATACTGCGAGTGTCTCACCCCGCGATGCCGGGATAACCCGGTGAGGTTGTTAGTCCCTGCCTCTGTCGGTGCCTGTAACGGCAAAGTTTCGGCGACGCTCTGGCTACCTCATGTATACGGTCCGGACATATACGGACAAGAGTGTCTTACGTCCCCGGGTACTTTTCGTCCACGAATTTAACCTGCGCTTTACCTCCTTAGCCGGATTTTTAGGGTACTTAGAAAAACCATAAAACTTTTTATTTTTCATATT